CTTGCTTTTTCGCATCACGCTTTGGTAGCTCGTAGCGAACAAATTTGAAAATGCACCGCGGTAGAACGCTTTTCATTGGGCACGCAAGAACTTGTAGTGTCTAGCTACAACTTATCATGTCATCTAGAGGGGCTTAAAAAAGGGACGCTTAAAACTTAAATTACAAACAAAACAAAATCCGCATGGACATCACATTTCTTACCTGAAGGCGCTGACGCAGATGGGTTACAATGTCCAAGAAAACATGCTTTCATGGACATAACACACTTTGTTTTCTTTATAAGCCAATTCATTCTGCCATGAAACTTACAAAACATGAATGATAGAAAGATTATAACTGATATGACATTCTCAATTCTTAATTATTACCATAGCGCGAAGAGGACTGTTTAGGTACATTCATTTTCGAATGTGAGTTTTAGCATGAAAAGCTTGACATAGGAGCTTTAACCGCAGTTTATTTCGACGCGATGATAGTAATTTCCATCTCATTAAATTTTTTCATATTGTTTCAGCTGTCATTTTTAAGTAATCGCTTCGCAGAAACCTTGAAGCCCTGTTCTGTATTTTTTTTTTCATGTTTGTCACCTAGAGACATATGACAAGAGATTTCATACGGAACAAGCGTATTCAAGCATACGGTGAATGTATGCTAAATACACCGCTGACTGTAAACATGCCGGCACCTGTCTCAGCCATTGCTGTATAAAGTATAACGATTTAGTGACCTTTGTCACCACTAAATCCACAAGAGCATTTCATCAGTGGCCCTCTATGGTTTTTCATTCGTTCTCCAGCTACCTGCAGCTGCCCATAAAAACCTTCTGTTCGTTTCCCACCGCAACACCCAGGTTTTCGGGGCGGTTCTTCAGTTCCTTGAGGGCACTAGACAGCTATCTGTAAAAGGCGGTCATTGCTTGCTCGGTCACAGACGTCACTTGTATTTTTTATCCATCTTTGATTCTCTCTCTTCCTTCCCCTGCAGACGTTGTGTTATGCTTTCACTTAGGGCTGCAGAAATAGCGTGTTTTGCACCAATGCCCCTCCTCCAATCGCTCGCAGCATGCCAGCTTTGTCTTCGTTGAACATTATAGTGCTCAGAAATATAAATGTTACTTTTTTACATGACTAATGGTTTCACACCACACTCGAAAAAAATTTGGGCTTGATTAGCGCTGATATAGGCAATCATTTGGAAAATAGGCATTTATAGGCACTTATATTCATTTAGGCACGAACAGCCAAAATAGGCATTTAAAGGCACTATAAAAACAACATAAAACCCTTTAACCTCTAATTCATGCTGACATATGAAAATGCCACAACAGGAACGCAAGGAAAAAAATAGGCATTTGCCTATAATTCGATCTCTACTAAGAACCTCTTCCAGTCTGCCAGTCCTCTGCACAAGGACGGTGCTGAGTCTTACGCTGCTTGCATCAGTGCGAACTTCTGTTTCAGCGTTTTCTTCGAAATGCGCGAGTATCAGAGGCATCTGCAGGCGTCGTTTTAGTTATCCAAATGCTCCTTCTTGTGAGGTTTCCTACTTCAACTCAATGTCAGCTCTCGTAATGTTAGTGAGGGTCTCGGCGATGCGGGCAAAGTTTCTGACGAAGCGCCTGTAATAGGCGCAGAGGCCGAGAAATCGACGCACCACCTTTTTCTCAGTTGGTGGCGGAAATGCAGCGGTGGCGGCTGTCTGCTGCGGATCGGGTCCTACTACGGACTTGCTCATCACGTAGCCCAAGAGCAAAAGTTCTTCGTAAGCAAAGCAGCATTTTTTTCTGGCTTCAGGGTGAGTTCGGAAGTTTTGATGGCTTGAAGTACAGTTTCAAGGCACCGAAGATGCTCGTGGAAGCTTGAGGAAATTATGACGACATCGTCTAAGTAAACGAGACAAATCTGCCACTTCTATCCTGCCAGCAGTGCGTCCATAATGCGTTGAAAAGTCGCAGGTGCCGAGCAAAGACCGAGGGGCATAACTTTGAACTCGAAAACGTCGGCTGGCGTTATAAACGCAGTTTTTTTTTTCGGTCTCTCTCGTCGACTTCGATTTGCCAGTTGCCAGCCTTGAGGTCCACCGTCAAAAAGTACTTTCGATTGTGGAGTTGATCCAAGGCATCGTCTATCCATGGGAAAGGATAAAATTTTTTTTTGTGATTTTGTTGAGGTGGCGATAATCGACGCAGAAACGTAGGGTTCCATCCTTCTTCTTCACTAACACAACGGGTGATGGCCATGGACTTCTAGATGGTTAAATGATGTCGTCGCGTAGCGTTTCGTCGACCTGTATTTTAACGGCCTCGCGTTCTCGCGTCGGAACTCTGTAGGGGTTCTGCCGTAGTGGTCTGGCATTTTCCTCTGTTATTATGCGGTGTTTCGCGACAGTGGTCTGGCGACTTTTCGACGACAAGGAAAAGAAATCCTTGTATTACAGGAGCAGGGCCTTGAGCTGTTCTTGCTTATGCTTCGGAAGGCTCGGATGGACGTTGAAAGCTGGATGAGGAGCTTCGTACCACGGAGTAGGTTCTGTAGAATCGGCGAGGGTGAAAGCATTGGTGGCTTCCATAACTTCGTCGATGTAGCCGACCGTTGTACCTTTGTTCACGTGTTTGTACTCGTTGCTGAAATTCGTGAGCATAACTGTTGATTTTCCTTCCTGTGGCTCATCGATTCCTCTTGTAACACAAATATTGCAGTTGAGCAATAGGAGCTGATTGCCTTCAACGACGCCTTCGAAGTCTTCTGGGTTTGGGGTGCCGAGGGAACATCTGGTGGATGTGCTTCCCGACCCATGTACCGCACGCCCCCTTCCAGTCGTGAACCAAGTCCACGTCGTAGAGAAGACACCCACGCCAACCACGACCAGCGATGCAGCCGTAGGCAACAAGGTCTACTACCAGAGTACGGGCCTTTACCCAACAAGACTCGCACGTCCTCCATGACGAGCCCTGCTGCAACGATGACTGCCGCTGCGCACTGCCGGCGGCTATCGTGATGTACCCAGCACTTCGACCAGATATCACGTGGTCACAGCAATGACGAAGGGAGCAGACAGTAGGTCAAAAAAGTCAACTGTTCAATCAGCCGAACTTGTGGCCACGTAAAAGGAAATTGAGATTACAGCGAGACACTGGCACTGATATTGTTGAAGTGAGCGTCGATCATCGATCAACTCACAAGCGGCGAAGCGTGTCGGCATTTATACACCACCATCGAACATTCTAGCGTTATCACTAGCGGTGACATAGGTTCTAGAAAACTCTGTAATGCGCGCGAAGTGGGCATGATTTTAACAAAACGATCTACTACAAGCTCGAAGCTTCTCGAACAATGTAGGCGCAGTTTGCGCTGAGCATTGTGTACAACATAACGGTGTGTTAAGAAATTTTGAGGAAGGAACGTGAGAATATAGGCTACTGCTTGGGAATGTGCCCTCTGGAATAGCGGAAGTGATAGTTTGATTAGCGTGTTTCCAATTATTTCGATTGATATGTGGGGTTTAACGTCGCCAAAACACCATATGATTATGAGAGACGCCATAGTGGAGGGCTCCGGAAACTTCGACCACCTAGAATTCTTTAACGTGCACCCAAATTTGAGCACACGGGCATACATTTTCGCCTCCATCGCAAATGCAGCCGCCGTAGCCGGGATTCGATCCCGTGACCTGCGGGTCAGCAGCCGAGTACCTTAGCCACTATACCACTGCAGCGGGGCACGTGTTACCGATTATTTAGGGCTTAATTGTAATGTCTCATACAGCAAGACATTAACGAACTGGTGTAAATTAGCATCGCCATAAATAACAATAACCTTAATTGCCAAGGGCTTAAGAAGATGAAGAGTATAAAGAGAACGTCTTAGCCGAAGGACGCACTAATTTGTATAGGCTGATCATCTAGATGATAGTTTTTTACACGATGAGTCTTATGTTCATTTTTCGTGGCCTAAAGTCGAGCCTCAACAGCCTTTCTTTTGAAACTCTTTGTTTTCTTAAGACCGATTTTCTTCTTCTATTGACCCATTCTCATCTCCCTGTGGAGATATGCCAACCACACTGGTAACCTGGATAACTACAGTGTGACTTACTCTTGGTGTTCCTTCTCTCGTTCTGTCAAAATACCGGCAAGCATTGGGGCGTGTATAAGAATTCCCGTATGTTACAGAAGGTGCGCACAACAGTTCTCCATTCATCAATCTTGTACTTTCGAGTAGTTCGTACAAGAACGATACATTAACTTACTCTTTAGTGTATACGTGACTTGTATTCATGCGTGTGCTTCTGACTACACTTGATACTTATTTGTATATCTGATCATAGTATATATATATATCATAATCATCACCCGCCATCTCAAGTAGCAAACCGAGTGATCCGGGTGAAGTAGCAAACCGAGCAAACCGAGTGACAAGAAATACCAGAAACATCGCTATCTATCTATCTATCTATCTATCTATCTATCTATCTATCTATCTATCTATCTATCTATCTATCTATCTATCTATCTATTTATCTATCTATCTATCTATCTATCTATCTATCTATCTATCTATCTATCTATCTATCTATCTATCTATCTATCTAGGCATTGGGGGGGATCACTGTTTTTTTTTTTATTCTGAGCTTCTGACAAAGGGTCTCTACGTACTATCTGTGTCTAATGATGCCAGAACAGCGGCAAGCCTTCGCGATGGTATATCGCTTGCCGTCCCGCCATCACCATAGGCACGCGCATCCTAATCGGCAGCTCTGTGCCTATACGAGCCTGTCCATGGGGATATGCGAATGGCAGGCACCCTACACTATCGCAAAGGTGTGCCGCTGTTTGGGTTTCATTTGACATCGATACATTGATACTATCCTGCACGTATGCAGTTACACTGTCAAGGCGAGGCAGCAAACTTTCTTTTCAACGAAGTCAGGTAAGCGGAAGTGACACCGACCCCTTGTGACAACACTTTCCATGTAAATATACTTGCAACCACAAACACACAAATTGCTCACATAACTCTTTATATTTCATTCATTATGTACAGATTGTTTTTCATACACAGTGACCGGGAGAAGGAATCTGGAGAATAAAATTATGCACGAGTGTGAGCGGCATGCCCCGTGCGTGCGCTGACGCATGGTAGTCTTTCCTCATTTATTCATAGGTATATCGATCCGGCAGGTCGCTCAGACAACACAATAAATAGGCCTATAATCTACACAACTCATAAATAACGTCAACAGAGTGATTCTGCCGAGGTCACGCTCGCAACACACACCGACTAATTGGCTTGCCGCGGAATCGCTCAGGCGTGGATTCCGCGCCAGCTACGAGCGATGACCGGAATAAATTAGCACTGGGACGAAGGAATAAAATGCGGTTATCTAACTTGTCCGCCTGGGTCAACGGTCTGTTTTCTTGTAGAATACACATTCACACACGTAGAGACACACGCACATGGAGGATAAGAGGACACAACACCTGTACATTGCACCTCATTGAACATGGGCATTCACAAACCTGCCTCACACATGTCGGCAGCAAAGTTTAATGTGTCATGCTGCTCGAGTCAAATATATTCCCGAAAACACATATGAGAAAGGGCGTGAACTTATACACGTGCTAACACACGCATTATTTGACTTCAGGGCCTGACAGGCTTAAAACTTTACAGAGAGAAAAGATTCGTTTGAGAATTGAACGAAGACCTTTGTCGGCAAAAATAACAGCATGTTTTTCCCACTACTGCAGTGGGAATATCTGGAGCTAAAGAAATTCGTGACCCGACACTGGACATTGGCAGATCGTGAAAAATTGAGTATTGCGACAGCTACGAATTATACCTTGCATAAAAGAATCTAAATAGTATGCTGCACTTGAAGTACGGTAAACTATTAATTACAACGTGAATTAGCCACGTTTCATGCATCCCTACGAAGGAGCAGCACACCATTTTCCATTATTTGGCAATCAAAACGAAAAACCTGGGATTACGTTTGTTTCATGGTTTCTGTAAGCTAATATGAAGCCCGGAACACGTGACACGATAGTTTTAACGTAAATGCTTTTTTAATTATACTGGATATGTAGCTGCAGCTTCTTAGAACTGAGTGAGGCAGGCTTGAGAATGCTTGAACTATACAATCACATCACCGCGAAAATACCCAAGGGTTTCGCAAGGGTTAAGCTACCCACACTGACGCATATACCATGCCTGAAAAAGCAGGGTTCCACGCATACTCGTTAGGTCGAACACATACGCACACAAGGAGAAGAAAGAAAATGTTTCAGGTGCACACAGTCCGTTTGCGGTGTCCTTCACAGGATACGCAGAGTGTTCACGGCATTCGAAGCGACACGCACGTGCTAAATAACCGTCGGCACACTCCTCACTCTCTCGCACTTGCGCAGTTCGTTTTGAGTCACACTGCTCCGTTGAAACGTCTGTCGTGTCTTCGTTACGGCGAGACTGAGGCGTCAATCGTGGAGGTATACAACGGAGAAGGTCTGCTTCAGAACCAGTAGAGGTCCTTGCATGGTTCTTGACCTTGGCTATCGAGTCCTGCGTTTCATTTGGGAAGGGTGACACAAATAATAAGAAGGTAATTAGTTGAGACAAAACCAATGTTAAGGTAGTGGCGCTGCAATTAATGTTAAGGTAGTCGAACTGAAATATACAAGACCCCTGACAAAAATAGAAACAATGAAAGTAACTGCCAACAAGTTTTTTTTTTTTTCATGTATCATCTGCAGTGTCTCAAATATATCTGCCCTCGCATACCAGCCTTGAATCTATACTAGCACACGCTGCGATGCTCGATGCCGCTACAATGCCCAGCAATCTGGACAGGACATCGAAAAAAGCAGTACTGAATTGGAATGCACACCCTACTTTTATACTGATTCGAACTTTCTCAGTTTGAGAAAAATATTCACCACATTTCTTTTTCAATTATTATTTCCTGTGGGTTTCTTTCTTTGCATTACACTTTGCAAACCTGCCATGAAAGCCAGCCACTTATCGTCTTAATAGTAAGATGTTTCGGTTTTCCGCTGAAAGGCAAAGTACTGGCTTTGCATTTTCTAATGCAATGCTCAGACAGAAAATATTATGTTCAAGTGCAGTCTGCACTCCAAGGCTACAAGCCTACCATCAGCGCTCGTTCACAATGCGCGAGCACCACACAGGGTTAGCTGTTTCTGCCGTTTTACTGGGCCTAACAAATGCGTCTGCGGCCATCCTGCCTGCATGCAAAGCGCGCTGGAAAACAGAATCGTCATCAAGCGAAGAAAAAGAGCGTGGGGAACCCCCGCCCCTTCGTAAGTGCACGTCTGATTCGTAGTGAGAGAAACAAACCCGGGAGACAGTCGGCAAATTGGAAATGGTAGTGACTGGTGACAAGACACAAAACAAAAATGTCCCCGTCATTTCTATTCAGAAAAGCTACGGCATGAGTCACCTTTTCCCTGGGCAGACGGGTTTCCCTCAAGCGTTCTCGCCGAGGCTGCACTGCCTCAACGCTCCGCTCGCGACGCCGTCGCCAAAACGCTGACGGCCGTTCTCCCACTATCCCCCATTTCCCTTCACAAGCGCTCCTCTCCCGAGAAATCCCCCTGCCCGCGAGCTCCAGACCTGGAGAGCCCCGCTCGCTTTCCGGCCAATCAGGAACGAGGAATGCGGCAATTCCTCCTGGCCAGCAAAACATTATTTACTTCCGCCAATGGCCGCGCGAGCCGCCATCATTCCAGCGCCGAACTATATACCGCTGAACGCCACTCGCTCTCCGCTTCGCAGCTCTTTCGTGTGCGTAGCAACGAGGCTCCCTACCGAGGGCGTCCGGGAAGCGGAGATGAAGCGACGGCAGGGCGCGCTACGAGCGGTGGTGGTGGCCATGCTACGTGGGTGGGTGGCGAACTCGTTTTAATTGAGGCCGTCGTGCACTGCAGGTTCTCGTCCTCTCTGGAAAGATCGTGATTCCACAGCTCGCGAAATAGACGGGCACGGACGCGCGAAGAGCGCTAGGTAGGGTGGACTAACGGCTTGGCTAGTCTCGTTTCATGGCCATCACGTGGTGAATTAGAAAAGACCCTGGGCTTCGCGAAGCGTGCTGTACTTAGGTGGGTACCACGCCCTGTCATCGCGGCTTTGCAGCAGTGATGAAACGCGAGCAAAGCGGCAGTGACGGCGGGCAGTTGCTTTAGGAATACCGCTACGAAGCTACTTCATTACGGCGTCCAAAGTGGCGTTCAGTATGCTGCCGTCGTTCAGCTGGCGGACACGGAATAATGCTACATACATTACCTGAAAAGGGAGGAATTTTTTAAAGCTCACATTTGCAACTTATTTAAAGGTAACATTTACAACTGTAGCATTTCCTTTGTTGGTCCAAGTGAGCAAAGGCATGATTGCAATTGCCTTTGTTATATACTCTGTTTTCAAGTACGAAATCAGACAAGCTTGAGTTTAGTCACATATTTATGAGTACAAAATTTTGTAAGCAATACCAATGTCCTATAAATGAGTTCTTTGGAGTTACCAAAACTGATGCGACACAGTAATTTATTCACACTTGGAAAAACTGATGTCTATAAATATGAGACCTAAGAGACAATAAACCATTATTGTGTGTTAGATCTCATTTTTATTGTGCTAAACACGGAAAAAACGAGCCTTTAAGTATACACTATGTTCTATATATATATATATATATATATATATATATATATATATATATATATATATATATATATATATATATATATATATATATATATATATATATATATATATATATATATATATATATATATATATATATATATATATATATATATATATATATAGTTATAAAGTTCGAGAATAGTGCAGTATAGGAAACAAAACAATAAAATATTTATTTAATCCTAACAGTTTCGGCTGGTGGACCAGCCTTCTTCGGAGGATGTAAGTACATACTTACATCCTCCGAAGAAGGCTGGTCCACCAGCCGAAACTGTTAGGATTAAATAAATATTTTATTGTTTTGTTTCCTATACTGCACTATTCTCGAAGTTTATAACTTTTATTACGGTAGCCGGAAGAAACTCTGATCATCTATTTTATTTCTCTCTCTCTCTCTCTCTCTCTCTATATATATATATATATATATATATATATATATGTATATATATATATATATTCATTAGGTGTAAAGAGGCTTCCGAGACTTGACAAATATAATTTTGTGGCTTCAATGAACACAGTCGGTAATCCCTTTTCTTAATGCTTGCTTATATACGCCAAGAACCCGTTCTCTGAAAAAATGCCTCCGCGATGCATTACGACATATTATAACCACAGTTGGCTATTTCATCAAGCATATTCACCGTTGAATTCATGTTCCCGTAAACGAATGCAAAATAAACATACTGAATGGCAAATCTTATAATTAATATCTTCCTAGGGCCAAGAATCAACTGTAGCATTCAAATGTGATTGTTTTGTTGTTGTTTGATAATTATAACCACTATTGGCGATAATTTCAAGGTGCCTCGATAATTACTTTATTACAGGGTATATGCACTTGCCTTCTTCCTTGAACTTGTGAATTTGTGGTAAGGAAGTTTGATAGCTGGTTTTTGACAACAACAATAACGGTGTAAACATTGCATGGAATTCGCTTGTTAAAAATAGCTAATAAACCCTCAGACCACTATGATATACCGCCCGCTGAAAGAATGAGTACTGCAATCTTGAAACGCATTACACTAAATCCACATACTTTAGAAAATTCCATAATAAAAAAAATAGCGCGTGAATGTGAACTACAAGATGGGTCCATCATCAGCCACAACTATAGTACGTCTTTTTCTAATGACTTAAACATTATTTTGCCTCAAAATTTCGGAAGCCTGCAAGGAGCTATAATTGTATTCTTTAACAACAATCACAAAAAGTCATATAAATCTTTTCTTTAAGAATCCGGGAAACGATGTTGCCAATAATTTTGTACACTATTGAACTTCTTTCTGACGTTTCATAATATTTGGGGCATTACGTCCCGAAGCCACGATATGATAGCGAAACGCCGTCCTGTGGGGCTTCGGGAATTTCGATAGTGCGGTGTCCTTTAACACGCACTATCATCGAATAATAAATGGGCCTCGAGAATTCCGTCTCGATCACCGTACCTTAACTTCATTCACGAACTATGACAACTCTACATACATCTGAGCATGTCTACCGTACCTTTAATTTGTTGTTGTTTTCTTGGAAAGACTATAGGCATACCAAGTTGTAAATCCCAGTCGAACTATTGTTTTCATTCACATTCGCACTTCGTGAACGTCGAAGCGCACAGTCGAGTTAGACCGATCCAAGAGCAACTCCTTCAAAATGTTAATACAGTTCGAGAGCTCAGGGAAAGGCGGTAGCTTTAAGCTATAAGAAATTATGGACGGGGGTGTCGGTGGAGCCAATATTTCAACAAATTGTTTTTTGTACGTCAAGGCAGCTTTGGACACGCTAACACCACTTTTCGAAACGTTTGCTCCTGTGTGTAACTTCTAATTAAAAAAAAAGGGGGGGGGGGCGGAATTCAGACGACGACAGGCACCTTAGCAAGAACGTCTGCTGAAGTATTTTTCATCCTTACCAAGTCATACAGTTTTACGTGTCTCCTCCTACTACAAGTGCGATATATCAATGTTTGCCTGCTGTTAAAACAACTTAACTTCTTGCACGGCATATTTTGTTTTGTTTAGAAGGCTATTTTGTTTTTATGCATGTGTTTCCAAAAAAAGAAAGTTGCGGGTAATTGGCACTAGCCGTTTGACGTTTGCTCCATCAGAAGCAAAATAGAGCGAAATACATGTACAGATTGTTTTTTTTTTTTTCACTTCTGGCACTGCACTACTTTATGAAATGCTGACGTTTTAGGCACCTGGCGATGGCTATCAGTGGCCGTCAGTAACGAAATCAGTGCCCCACGGGAAGGAACAGTAGCCCACCTACAATCACTATGTCCCTCTTTTGAGTATATTAGACCTTTGTTTTTGTTTTTTGGTTGCCACGGTGAACAAAATGTGCCATCCTCATTTATCAAAATGGTTTAATTCAAAAATGGTCCACCAAACCACATGAAAACAGTGGTTTGGTGGAAAGGGCAATACGAAAGGCCTGCTAGCTTTCAGAGATAAAAACGATACCTTGCTTTACTTCCAAGCAAGGCCAGTGAAAGATTATGAACCCAATTCTTGATTTTCACAATCACATTCCCTTAGCTGATATTGATCAAGGATTGAATTCAACTAATACGTTGCCATGGAATTAGTCAAGCATGAGGAACAGGCGGAAGACTTTAGCTGTTGACCTCTCACCGCCAATATTATCTCGATTTTTATTCAAACACGATTCAACCGTAACAATTGTGGTGTAGATGTTCTCGATGAGGAAAGCTCTTTTCAAGAACTGGGCTGACATGACAAGGATAAAACAATACTGAATGCATCTCTAAAGAACGGGTTTACTTGGCTAAAAAATTATGGCGTCATAAGCCACAGATATATGTCGCGTAACTTCCATGCAACATGCAGCACCGGCTATTATCCATCTGCAAGAACATATAGAAAAACTAGCCACATGAGCCTCTATACAACTACAATGGGTTGGCCGTATGAAAAGGATATAATACTTCAAATAATGAAAACATACCGTAGTAGAAAAAGAATCTACAGAATATATCAAGGAATTTTTAAATGTCTCAAGAACGAGGTTTAGGAACAATATTTTATCTTCGTAGCTAATTTGACTAATCATATTTTCCTCTTTGTATATGGGTCTATAGCACGACAACATTGTGAGAAATATGAATCTGTAGGAACTCAGATTTTTTACACTTTCTTAAAATGTCTGTGATTTATTCACAGGTTAATGGTACCTCAAGAACTTTCATTTTGAACTTTCCGTGCACATCACGGGCTGGTTACGTCGCAAAGATACGCTAACGCTCTCTCACAATATGCGGCTACACAACGTGACGACTTAGCGTTCACTATGGTAAACGATAAAGATAAAACAATGGGGAAGAACCAGCCACCACAAGACAAAAAGTTAGAGAATAGGGGGATGCGAAACATCACACCGCAACCAAAACCACCACCACCGTTACGGCAAGTCCATGTTAATGCACAACCACCTCGAAGAGTTGGTTAAACTGAAAGCGCAAGCATCCTTAGCCATGAGTGTTTCCGTATTTAGTTTTAGGGGATGCCAAGCGAGGAGCGTAGCGGCTTCCAGGGAAGTCTGGCAGAAGCGGTAGAAACAAAACAAAACGTACTCTTGTTTTGTCGTAGTGACGTCACCCGCTGTAGACCCACCGGTTGGTTCGGTATTTTTGTTTCGTTTTTTTCACCGGTACGCGTGCATTGCCTGGAACTTGTACAACTCCAGCATGTAGCCACCGTTGTTGGGATCTGGAGACAGTGGTGCAAAGTACGATGCAGACCAGTTCACTACACTCCTGGTAAACAAGCAGCTCTCCAGATTTCGTAAGCCTGTTCTCTGCCACCCTTGGGAGCTGAGCTTGCTAAAAACACTTCGACTATCACTGCTTTCTGCGCGCTCAACAGTAGCTCGAGCCATATTTCACTATATGAAGCTTATCAAGTCAAGACGGAAAGGCTCCCTACCAGTCATGGCGGCCGCGGCTGCTGCGGCTCCCATCCCGTAATGATGGTGAGCAGCTGCCTGGTAGCCGGATGCGTCCACCACGTGATGCCCAGTCAACTGTTCGTGATGGTAACGGGCTGCGGGCGAGGGCCACGCATCTCCCTTGTCCAACGCAGTGCACGTGGCTGGAGCGAGGCGCGAGGAGCGAGGCTGCAGCAGCAGCGAGCCGTACTGCTGGGCCCCGAAGCGGTGCGCCGCTCCACCCGCAGAGTACGGCAGCTCATGCATCGCTGAAGACCTGCGCGGGACGATCATTGATGGTGTAAGCATGAAGACTAATATTATACATCTTTAAAAAGAGAAGGTGTAAACAACCCCAGGTGGTCAAAATTTCCGGAGCCCTCCACTACGGCGTCTTTCATAATCATATAATAGTGGTTTTGGGACGTTAAACCCCTCAAATTAATCGAGAAGGTCGGGAGAAGGGGGGGGGGCAGCGGCATGTTGTCTCACACTCGAGCTAACTACGCTTAGGTAAGCCTATCAAATTTTTCTCTTTTTCTTATATTTGCGTTAAACCGCGACGCTACCTGTGTCTGTAACGAGTGTGAAACAGTCGAATTCTTATTGCTTCGGCATCAATACGCTAAACGCAATTTACTTCTTTCGCACATAACCTTTCAATATCGGTTCTTGTTAAACGTGGTCGTTCACTAGGATTCTTTTTCGGTGGATATATTGCCTCTCCTTAACAATGCTAGAGCCGAGTCAGGATTTAGGTGGACCGCTACGGACAGTTGGATGACAGCAGCAGACACAGATGGAGCGTGTCAACGTGCTTCTATTAGTTTAGTACAGCATGCGTTTTGAAATATTGCATTAGGCAGGCAGCGAATTGTGGCAGGATCGCCCACTGAAAACGTACATTCTTCGACGCAATCTTAATTAGGTGCCGTTATACCGCTTCACCAACAAAAAGGCAGCACAGCGTATAACAAGGGCGCAGTATAGAAGAAGTCGGTCAAGCGCCTTCTAGTGCATGATATCACTTTTCTCGTCCTCTTGTATCCTGCTAGTCTGTCGTATACATGAAAGCCTTTAGCCCATACCTGTATGGTCCGGCCTGGGGCGCCGTGAGTGCGTAGTGCCACGGGTCACTCTGCAAGCTGGCGTGTATGGCAGCGGCATTTGCTGCCGAAGCGGCGTGGTGGTGAGCGTGGTGGTAAGGGTGAGCCTCGCTGCTCCCGTACAGGTCCACGGGGCTCGACACTGAGCCGCCTGCGCTGCCGGTGGCCATGCCGTGACTTGATGAACCACCCGCCGGCGACTGGTGGCAATTCCAAAATGAGGCAGGGAAGTTGCGCTGCGCCATCGGTGGCGCATCTGCAAACACATGTAAATAAAGACAATAGATGCTCTGTTTACTTCGTGCCACTGGAACATTTGCATTGGTGAATCTCTTACACCCATGAAAACAAAAATAATTCGTGACAAAGTCATGAAAGCGCTTCTATTTCATGGCTTCATCGGGAACGTTGACCATTGTGATGAATTAGAACATAGGCCACATTGCTTACAGGGCTGATCGAAATTTTCTAGGCTACTATTCCATGTATTCTTATGGCAGCGTGGCCGGACGGTACATGCATCACACTTGTGCGTCTCAGACATTCACAGACTTATTTGGAATGAGCAGATTTATTGGGGTGAGATATCGCTGTAGACGAGATCAAGCGAGAACAGGCACGGGTTTAGAGAGGGGTGTAGCGAATAGGGGTTAACTTCCCATGAAAGGGAAGTCAATCAAACTGAGCCCAGTTTTCTACCCTGCTCGGAGGAAGGACTGCAAAAGGTGACGCCGAGTGAAGAAGTTTGTTCTTGTTGAAGGTAAACTGTGCACTCTTATGATTGTTGCCTGAACCGATGGGGTAGTAGCGTTCTTTGTTCTTAAAACAAGCCGCCGAAGTGCTGCTGGCCTGTTGTCCCTTTCGTATTTAGACACAGTGCAGTTCGAAGTGAGGCGCACTGCAGTTTGAAGCCGTAACGTGTTTCACGAGACGACCACATTGGTTTCCGTGGTCCCAACATATTCCGGGAAGAGACAGCAGCGTCAGCGCCGACGACAACTCACTCCGTCATTGAGCAATGAGTTTGGTGGACCATTTGAACTTTGGTACGACGAACCTCTTGATGAACCCTCTTGTCTGAGCGTGAAATCCCTCACCCTGTGGCATTCTCACGTCAAAGAAAAAGAGCCACCTTGGTGCCACATTACACTGGCAACACGCCCCAATGGGGGACGTTTACCTGGGCGGGTGTAAGCGCCACCGTCAGAAATGGTGTGTGTGTCCTGAGATTGGACAGCACAATCTGCACCGGTTCCCTGATATAGGGATCTGAGGTGAACGTACTCTTTATATAGAGCCACCCAGCTCAATCACCATAGATCTCTCGTCGTGTAAAGAATGTGATAAACCTTTAGTTAAGTTCACCTTCCTGCTGTCTTAGCATCTTCGTCCCGGGTCTCCGGTGGCTGCAAAAGGCGATGGCATCAGAACACAGAAACCTACTCGAAGACCACAGAGAGTTACATGTCCGGCAGGGATCAACAAAATCGCGCATCAACAGACTTTGTTTGGTCGCAGTCGGAAACAGCTGCGCTGTATTGAAGAGCCAACTGATAGACGTGATGCAAACTTCGTCGATTCTTGATATATATAGCGATTTTGCCAGCCCGAAAGAAGACGACGACATACGTGAACACACTCGACAGGCGCTGTTCTACCAATCAATAACAAACCATGCCCTCCCTCTCCCCCTCTCGAAACATTTGATATTGTTTAATGTGTAAATATATATATACACGTAGGCTGATGAGAGCCCTCTCGACATCTCGAACACCCCCCCCCCCTTTTCAAAAAAAGTTGAATGGCTCCATCCCTGTTTAAAATTAATTTTTATTTAGACAAAAAAAAACAAGCTTATACAAATGTCACCAATCATTCTTGGCGAGATGAATCATCGTCGACTTAATTGAAGACCAATGTTTTACAAAAAGAGACAACTGTGCGATGACGCAATAATAATCTGGACGTGCTACTTTTGAAAAGCACGTGGGAGTAACTCAAGGAAACGATATCGGCATGCTTCTTTATAAAATTAAGTCACAGTGCACATAAAGCCATGACTTCCAGCTCGGAATAGCCTTCTTGTTCTCGAAACGTTTGTTATAATGATACTCTTCCATCTTTTCTTTTCTGTGTACTAGAAAACACAGCATCTACTTTTTATTGAAGAATCACGAAAACACCTTTTATAGCTCAAAAAAAATTGTCAAGACAAACTGATGCTTTACGACGAAAATATAAATCTGCGGTTCTAAAAATACATTCTACCTGCTTCAAAAAAACTTCAACGAAGGGCAATAATTTTTCCGAAGGTTGGATCATAGCTTTCTTCACATTTCTTTTTCTTCTTCTTTAGCTTGGCTTGTTCTCAAGACCGTAGGGCCACTTACGCTGCGCTAACTTGCATTTAGCCAGCCACCTAGCCATCAGCGTTCAAGCACCACACGCTCGGTGCTGCTGAAGCTCTCGAGACTAGCCCACCACCATCGGTGGTACGGCGGCCGAGAAACATGCGACGTCGTAATACTTCAGCGCGTGTTTTCTTTTCTTTTTTCTGGATAGCTCTCGTGAAGCTCCGGGTTTGTGCTAACGGTCCTGCGCTAATCTTCCCGGTGGTGGTAGAAGAAGGCGTGTCATAAATCAAGACCCCAAAGGGCTTCGCAAAGTCACTCTTTTCCTCAGCCGGAAGGTGGAAAGGGCCAGAAAGAGGTGCCTTGGCTTGAAGCCTAAACGCGCCTGTTACGAACGAGAGCTCTGGGAAAGCTTCGCGCATGACAGACATGCACCGCAGTCTCTCAAGTAAAACGCTCGACGTGATCAGAAGCCAAAAGACATGAAAAAAGCGAATAATTCCTCGTGCTTGAGTAACTTCCCCTTTCAAAATATATTAAGAACACACAAATCTTACCGCTAGAAGTCGCTTGTCTATTAAAACAAAACAAAAAATACGCCCGAGGAAAAAAACGAAAGGCCTGCGCGGAATGCGCAGCACAGTCACAGTGAAAACTAAAGAGGCCTTTCAGAGCCTTTTTAAAACAATCATTGGGTAACTACCGCAAGCACACTTGCTTGATACCCACTAGGGCATTAATAATGAACTTCTGGGTAGTAGGCCGGCATTCGCTATGCTATTTTTGTCATTCTTCTGAGAAGCACGGTATCCACTAAACACTTGCAAGGAATTTCGTGCCAATTGTTCATGCAGTAGCTGACGACGATGAGGAATTATGGCTGCAGTGGGTATGCGTCACAATTCATAGGGGAACAAGAACAAGCTTTTGTAATGCATCAGAACATTGGACGGTTGACTCGTTACGCTATTTGCATTGTGCGATGACTGATTGTTCCTTCGCTGCTTTAAAGCGCTTCATAAGTCGTATGAACACGATTGGTTTCCCGACATCAAGCCTGTCTATGGAAAGTTTGACAACAAGTCACAAGCACCGGTGTAGCTCAGTGGTAGAATACTGGGTTGGAACCCAGCGAACCCGGGTTCGAGCGCCATGCACTGTGTCTTTGGTGCTAGGTTTGCCAACAAGGCACAAGCACCGGCGTAGGTCAGTGGTTAAATACTGGGCTTGACACACAGCAGACCCGGGTTTCAAGCTCCGCTGTGCCTTTGGTGCTAGGTTTTTTTTTTCTAATTTTGGGCGATGTGGTTACGGACACCGGCGGTGGCGGCGGACAACTGCGCGTGACCTGAGTTGTGATCTCGTAACAGCTTTCGCTGTAAAAAAAAATACGCTTGAGGACAGTTCATTGAACTAATGTTGCCAACATGCAAAAATATATGAAAATGAGTGAAGTGATGATCAAATAATGAATGGCGCGGGAACCCTCTATTGGAAAAGATTTTATCTTCCCCCTGGTGAACCCCTGACGTCACACTAACATTCAGCTTCTGATATTTAGGTGTGACAACGAACACAGAAACTTCGACCTTCCCATCTCTTTCTCATTCTAAAGCTATATTTCGCAATGTTGGGTTCTCGATCATTAATCAGCCTGAACTAACATGCTTGTGCTTTTTAAGGGGTAGTTGACATTGTGGTCATACGGTAGAATTGTAGATATTTCACCGGCGCTAAGTCATTTATGGATGAAGCGTTTCTGCCCTACCTTTAGACATTTTTCTTTTGAGTCTAGGCCAGTGTAACTTTCTGGTGAATATTTTGACCCGGTACATTGTAGAAACAGACATGAGGAGCGATGCGGATAAGTTAGATACGTGTACAACAAATGCGATTGGACGGCTACCTTATCTTCGGGAAAGAGGAATTAGAAAAAGTAGAGTCGGTAGTGCGGGAAACGCGTGTTGGTGCACAGGCAACCACAGGTTCTAGCAGTATGAGCCCAAAGCTGCCGTTTTCGAAGAAGAAAAAAATAATATATCACGTGCTTCATCATGCATGCGTCTCTGATGCCTTCATTTTCCTTCTTAGTCGAACGTACCTACCCCCCCCCCCCCCCCGAATGCTTTCGCACCCAACGAAGGAGCGTACACAGGAACGTTTTTTTTTTCAGGCGGTGGGGGGGGGGGGGGGATGAAGGCACCCCATTGATCTGAAGTGCGGGCCGGGCAAACAGGTGTGGTCGAGTGTCATTTCAGGCTGTGTATGCTGTGGTAAAGAAAAAAAATTTAGGGAAGGGGAGGGGAAAGAGTACAGGCCCGGTGTGCCATCCTCTGGCTGCGCCACTGGTCTAACGTGGTTTTGTACTGTCTCTTGTAGGGTCTCCGCAATTGCTTTGACTTAAACCAAGCGAAGATGTCTAAAAATTACGTCATAATGCGACTTTACGGTGACGATAGGACGAAGTCATGGAGACGCTACGAATTTTGGCGACTTGCGACGTCACGACTACAAGACGTCCTCACGAGCGAACTTGGACTAAACGGCTGATGGAAGGCCAACCTGAGATGAGCGGGGCGAGTGACCCAATATTGCCTGCCGAAACCTTTGGCTCAGTCGATATTGGCTCTTCGACGGCAACGTCGCACGTAGCCACCGTAAAATCAATATTGGCATGCCGTTGTGCGCTCCCTGTGAATTTGAAAATTACCAAGGTCCACGCCCAGATCATCGAAGTGCGGCAGGCGATTGCCTTTGCGACAGAAGAAATAGTCCCGTGCATAATCACCAGGTGGCTAGGTCACAGCATCAGTACTTAGTGCACCGCCATTGGAGCCGACGTGGGTGAGTGCGCCCTTGAGAAGGAAATGCTGCAGACTTCCGAAGTTTTGTCTGACTACTCAGG